GTCATCCTCTGGTTTTACATGTAGAACATACACATGTGTCCCCCTCCCCACAACACTCACCCACATAATAATAAAAGTAGAAAAAAAAAAAAAAGAAAGAAACCTCAGCACCCAGCAGCCCTGTTGAGATGCTGTGTGAACCCCAGGGTGTACCAGGTCTCCTTCCTGCTGTGGTCCATTCCTAGCACACTCATCCCTTCCCAGTACAGCTGGTGGAATGGTGAACATGCCTGAGGAGGCATATGGTTATTGCAGGCTCAGGAGGCAGAACTATGGATGGCACACACAGTTCCACTTCTCCCCAGTGACCTTCTAGCTAGCTCAATAAACAGGTTCTAAAGCAGTGGCTCTCAACCTGCGGGTCACCATTCCTTTGGAAAACCTCTATCTCTTAAAAATATTTAGATTATGATTCATAATAGTAGCAAGATTACAATTATGCAGTGAAAATAATTTTATGGTTGAGGTCACCACATGAGGAACTGTATTAAAGGGCCGCAGCATTGGGAAGTTGAGAACCACTCACTGCTCTAAATTCAGGTGACCCTGCATTTGAACTAGGAATGTACCAGAGCTGCACAGGAATGCAGAAATGACTGAGCCTCCATAACCGTACACTATCTTCATGTGCAAAATGGGTATAATATTATATACTTATTTACCCAGCACCAACACTTGTAGTACCCAGTGAGTTGTCCAATTAAACAACAGAACATGGCCCACACTGACACCAACAGACAGGCACAAGTAAGTGTGAAGATGGAGAAAGGCCATACGCAAGAAGACAGCTTGGAAGAATCAAATCATCTTGGGTTAGCAAGATGCTCACTGAGTAAAGGCCACCATGCCTGACATGAGTTCAACCCGAGGACCTACATGGTGGGAGGAGAGAACAGAGTCCAGAAAGTCTCCTTTGACCTCCACAAGTAAGTCATGGCATGTACACACTCACCCCCAGCACACAGAAGCACACAAGTTAATAAAGTGTCAAAAGAGAAAGAATTAAATGATCTTACAGAATTAAAAAAAATGTTGGGCTCAGGGGATGGTACAGCACTCCTACAGTTAGAAACAGGAGAATTTTCTGGAAACAAATGGTTCAGCAAGCCTGTGCAACGCAGCACAGAGCAAAACAAGAGAGACTTAATTCAAACCCTGAAGGTGAACGCTGACTGCTGAGGTTGTCATTTGACCTCCACATGTGTGGACACATAACACACACACACACACACATAAGAGGAAGTTGTGGAGTCAGTTTACAAACTACCTACAAGAGAGGGCATGCAGATTGTGTTTCCAGAAAGCAGATCTACCTACAGCTAGGCCTACGGAATCCTCTAGGACCCCATCAGGATCTCACAGATATCAGGGAAGGCTGACTTAGCTGACTGAGCAGTGTCAAGATGGCAGGTGGTGTGTTAGCAGCGGCATTAGGGCTGCCCCTTCCTGCCCCACCAAGGACCCTGTGCAAGCCCTGGCCTGGCTTATTTCTATTCTTCCTGACTTCTAAATAGGTTTCTCGGGCTAGTGGATTCAGAGTAGTTTTGGACAGTCAAGCTGTTACGTTGTCTGCAAATCTCAGTGACAGACTCCTCTCTGTTAAAACAGAGACTGACGTACTGGGAAAGTTAGACATTGACACTGAAAGGCTTCTGAAACATTCTGAGTGTTGGGTGTTGGAAATAGGGAGATAGGATACCAAGCCCAGAACCTCCAGACGCTCATTAATTACCCCACAAAAGCTTTGTCATACCCCTCACCCTGCTGCCTTACACAGACCACATTAAATTGAGTTACATATCTCACAGACAGCTTTGAAACACACATGGATCACTTATCATATTACACTGTCAGAAGAACCTGCGAACCTTACAACTGAAAGATGAGTCTGGCATTTATTTATTTATTTCCTCTTCATTTTTATATCCCAAAGCTCAGTCCCATTCAAGCACTTGCTCCAGGCAGCCTATTGGATTTTTTTTTTTGTTCATTCACAAATACCTTTTTTACACTTTATACCCCTGAAAGCAGTTTGATCCTTTCTCCTCATTAAAGGAAAATACATGCAGATAACCGTTCAACTCGGGCTTTGCTCAAGTGATACTAATGGGGTGTCCCTGGAGCACTTTGTTCTCATTGCTAGACACAACAGTGTTACTACCAAAAACCAATACCAGCAGCACCAATCTCAGAGGAAACACCAGAGCCCAGTTTCAAGCAAATCCATGGTGCAGAGACAAAGGATGTAACGGAACTGTAGGCGCAAGCCATGTTCACAGGCCTTTCCTTGTAGCATCTAACACAGAGCAAAGCCCCACGTACTCAGACTCTTCCCCAAAGCATCCAACACAAACTCAGACTCAGCGACTACGAGTCCTTCCCCTCCCTGCTTCCTTTTCCATTCTTCTCCTCCCCATCCCCTCACTTGCCTTCTTTCATTCCTTCCTTAAATGGTCTCACTTAAGGGCTAGCCTCATGCTTCCCACACTCCTGCATGCCTCCTGTGTACCACAGTGCCTCGTGTGCTACATCTCTCGACCATCTTGGCTAGCCGCTGTACAACTCCGCTGAGGTGTGACTTCCACAACACAAACGGCGAGGCGCCCAACATATTTCAGCACCACTGGGTGCCAACTTGAAGGCAACCAGTCTTTGGCTGGAGGCACTGACAAAACAATAAGAAGCAAACAAATGCAGCAACTGCAAGGTTTCATGATGGAACCTGAACCAAACAGAAGTCTAATAAAACAAAGGTCGGTTTGTATTTTAATTAGATAGGAAACACAAAAGTAAGTAAAGCTTAAGTATGTCACAGTGAACCAAAGATACTATTTGACAAGGAGTATTAAGATAAGTGAATACAAATGGAAAAACCAGGGCAGATCTATACATCAGAATCAATGAAATCTAGCTAAAGTATTAATTACAATAAGAGAGTAGTTGAGGCCAGCAAACTAGCTCAGGAGGTTAAGATGCCTGCAGCAGCCAAGCCTAACAACATGAGTTTAATTCCTGGGAATCCTAGGGTGGGAGGAGAGGACCAGTTCCCACAAGCAACCTCTGGCCTCTAAACAGGTGCCCCACACTAACAAACAGGAACACACACACACACACACACACACACACACACAGACAGACACACATGCATATACATACATACACATACATAAATACATATGCACACAGACACACATGTAAACACATACACACATAAATACATACACACACCCACAAACACACACACATACACAGACACATGCATAGCAGAAACGTATCTAGTTCCCATCCCTGTTAAAAAGCTGATAAGGCTCATTTCTGGCAATCTAGAACTGCAACAGACTCACAGCCTTGCCACCCAGGAGAAGGACTGACAGGAGACCATGGCACTTCTGGGGCAGTGACTCTCATTCCTCTTGTCACAACTATGCATTGCAGTCTTTTGAGTTTACTGAACCTTTACAGTAAGCAGAATCTTTCTCAGTTCAACCCTTAATGACACTGATCAGACAAGACCTTGGAGTCCTTGAGAGATGGACAAGGAAATCTTACATTCAGGAGCATCCACATGGATGATCGGGGAAACAAGACACCCCACCCTAGACCAGCATCTATTCACTGCCCTGCTCTGAAGTTCTACAGCTTAGAGATCCCCCCTGGGGTATAGGGAGACCTCTTCCCCAAGTACCCCACATTCACAATCACTGTAGAAGGGTTAAGTGCCTCACACAGAGTCGAACTATTCTGTTCTCAAGGCATCTGAGACAAGAAAATCAGAATGTATCGCTCAGAGAACTGCTGAGGGAGGAATGAGGAGACAAGACCCTTCTATTGGTCAGTTTTAATGCAAGCTAGACCCTGTCTAGACTCCTCTTAGAAAGGAGTCTCAGTGGGGAACTGATTTTCTTGGCCTGTGCCCAGGACTGTGAGGGAATTTCTTAGTTGGGGTAATTGAGTGGAGAAAGTATGCAGGCACCATTTCATGGGCTGGGTCCTGGGCAGAAGGAAAAGGAGAGAGCTTAACACACACACACACACACACACACACACACACACACACACACACACACACACACACACACACACACACACACACTGGTTGTGACCAGCTGCTTCTTACCCGTCCTGACTCCTCCCTGCATTGTGAACTGCAGCCCAGAACTATGAGGCAAACAGGCCTTTCCTCCTGGGAGCAGCACTTGCGGGGTATTTTATCATAGCAATAGGAAATGAAACGGACAGTCTTGTCAGTCAGATCTCACTCAGCTCTCAGTCACACCAGGCTCAAAATGCACAAAATGACTCTTTCCTGTGCTAGCCAGTTGGCTCCATGGGTAAAGTTTCCTGCTGCAGGGGCCAGAGAACCCACATAAAAGGAGGAGAAAATCTATCCCAACAAGTTGTCCTCTGACCCTGACATGCATGCTGTGATAGTCTGCCTCCCCATACAAACACATGTATAAAAAATAAAAATTAAAGCTATTTTAAAAATGGCTTATCACTGTACCTCTGAAATATTTAAGGTCCCTCTGCCTATTCTTAGAATGGAAAAAAAGACTAACGTTGAAATATAACCGAGGCTTTGTCCATTCTACACACTTTTTAATAAAGTCCAGCAAAAATTTTTGCCTTGGGCTTGACTGAGTTACAGAGTTTATGTCCTAAATTCCAAAAAAGCACCATCCGTCAGTCCACTTGCCAAACCAAGCCCGTGTTATAAGTAGCTGACTGGGAAGGGAAGCTGATTGCCTGGTCTGCAGATGGCGACATATCAGATGTGATTGCTATTTCATGACAGAAAAAATGGTCACCTCGGGATAAAATGAAATTAGCTCATAGGCAAAGCAGATGGCTGTGCCTGGTCAGGCCAGTGTTGGTGCTTCTGACAAATGTGGCTGATAAATTACAACGAGACTTCATGGTTACACGGGGAAGGAGTGAGGAAGCAGGAGGGTAAGGCTGTGGGTGACCTGAGGCCAAGGCTCTGGCAGGCAGCAACCTACCTTCCCTGCGTACTCAGACACAATCTGCTTGATCTCAGCAGAACAGAGACCCACGATCTGGCCCACGGAGCTTGCGGTGAGACGGCTCTGCAATCAAAGGAGGTGTAGTCTCAGGGATACTGGTCCATCATAGGACTGGATGTGATAACCAAACACACAGCATTGCCCCAGAGAAGTGACTTGGCTTTCACCACTGACTCAGCCACAGGACTCAGAAGTTAGAGCCAGCCCTCTATCTCCTGAGTCACTCCGCTGGCTGTGTTGGTTTCCTTGGTCCGTGGGGACCCCTGGAGCCACACCTCAATCTCCTGAGTCACTCAGTATCTATGTTAGCTTCCTGTTACTTGGGTCCTGAGTACCCTTGCTAACTTCCTTTTGGGCCCTGGGAATCCCTCCTAACTCCACCCACCGCGGCCTTGGGTACCCCTGCTAACTTCCCTTCAGCCTCAGGTCACCAGCATTAGCTTCCCTTCAGGTCCTGTGTACCCTAGGATTTCACCACCTTCTCCACCCCCCTGTCCAGGCCTGGGACTCATAGATGGGAAGCAGAAAAGGAATCATGGGCCCTAAAGTATCTCTTTATGACTACAGGTCTTTCCTGGTTTTCAAAGAAATGATCCCATCCAAGGACATAGCTAATCCTTCCAGGAAGGCCCTGAATGTGAGAGGGTTCACTGGCAACTCAGGATTTCATCTCCTACATAGCTGGTTTCAGTAGAAGATGGGTTCCCATGGTTACAGAGGCCCTTGCTCCCCCTTAGAGGCCAGTTAGCCACCCCAGCAGGGATACGTCATACCAACACGTTCCTTAAGCTCTCCCTCACAGAAGGCCCTGAGGACAATGCTAGGCATTGTAAAAAGCTTCCTGCAAAGGAAGCAGGGCTCAGGACTGCTAAAGATGGGGCTCTGAAGATGGTGTTCCCCTGCCTCTAGAACAGAGGGGGCAGGGCCGAGGCTCCACCTCTGTGTTTCCCCTGTACCCCAACCCCGACTAGCCCTCACCTCCTCATTTGCCATGGCAGTCATCTTGGTCATCAGTGACTGAATACGTTGCTGAAAGAGAAAGAGAGCAGGGATGAGCAGTTCTGACCACGTAAGACTGAAGTGAACACTTGCCCTGGTCTTTGTGGTGAAACCTCTGAGCTGAGGCTTCAATGTGGGTCACTGGTGAACCTCATGGCATCTCAGAAAAGGGAACTGTGAGGGTGGAAGGCAGCCCGAGAGAGAGCTGGGGATGGGAGCGAAATCTCCCCTCCAATGGCCCCCACTGGAACCTCAGAGGGCCACCACGGGGCACACACCTCTTCAGCTGCTTGAAGCTCATCTTCTTCATGAGCTTCTGTTTTCTCTGTGGCCGACAGCCCTGCAGCAAGAGCTGTTTTCTTGTCCTCAGCCTAGAAGGGAAGATGAGGAAACAGCTGAGCACCAGAGGTGCAGACTCAGCAGAAACAAGACAAGCTTGCAGAGAGGCTGCTTGTGAAAGAAAACATATCCAGGGCCCATCCAAAAGAAAGGGTTAATCTAGAGGTTTCAGGTCACGTTCTAGCCTCCAGAGCAGGCTGGGAAGGCATGGGTTGGTAAGGCCTGCCTCATGCCAGGGCACATCTACCTGCCAGACTCAAATTATCCTTCATCTGTAGCTCTGGGATGCTTCTGTTGGCAGGCTAGAAATACGGAGACAGACAAGCAGGGGACGAAGGCGGCTGGTACATTCCCAGGGCCCCTGCCTGTCCAGAGCCTGGTGTTTTATTAGGAGCACAGCTGCTATCCAGCCTCCAACTGCTGTCACCTCCCACTTCCCAGGTCCCACTCGAGATCTTTCTTACCTTCTCTGTTTTGTTGTGACGACTAAATCCATATCTCCTGTAAGTCATGAGAAAGAGTTTAATTACTATCTAAAACCACAATCAATTCCAACAAGACTGTTTTTTGACACTCATGTGCATAGAGGCGGGGCAAGCAACTCAGATGTCTCTATCCTGAGTCACTTTCCAACTTTTTCTGAGACAATATCTCTCAACGAACTTGAACTTACCAACTTAGCTCGAATGGCTGGCTGGTGAGACCCTGGGCTCTCCTGTCTCTGCCTGCCCAGCACTGGGGTTACAGGCACACACCCTCACAGCTGGCTTTTGCATGGGTGCTGGGGACTCAATTCAGGCTTCGTGCTTATGTGCCAAGCTCTTTACCAACTGAGCCATCTCCCTCGTGCTTGGTTGGGTTCCTCTATTAAAAACACTGGAGAGGATTTAGGCTATTGAGTGCTGGGGAAAAAAAAAAACACTTCAAATGCCTTACCTCGAAACATATCTACCAGATCCTGAATATGGCCAGTCATGTTATCTGCTGTACAAATGCTATAAAAGGGAATGCTGAGATAGTATAGAATATCCTTAAAGGATACTCACTGCTCTTCCAATTGGGAACTGCATCTCAGAACCACACTGCAAGCTAAAACTCTTAAAAACATCTGTGTAAACAGGCAATGTATTTCCTAAGGCCAAATCAGACTCTAATATTACCTAATTGACTTCAAGTCACGCCAGAATTATTTTCAAACACAACCAAACGTGATGTTAGTAATGTGTACTCACTGCATGGAACCTTAAATTTAATGGGTGCACACATTTCAGCTTAAATTCGTTTAGTTCTTGGCTTAAGACAAACCAAACCCATGCCTTTTTATTTTAAGGAAATATAACAATACAAAAAAAAAAAAAAAAGACTCAGCCGAAAACAAAAGGCATATTGCAAACATCTAGTCTCACAGATTTTAGTTTAAGAAAACACGAATTAAGCTTTTGCTCTGCCCCTGTTCAGGACAAGCCTGGCCTGTGGGATCAGTGTGTGGCTCCCCTGGCCCAGCGTCTGCAGCCTCACCCCTCCTGCTCTTCCCCATCCCTATCCCAGCTCACTTTAGTAAGATGCAGGCCTCCTAAGCAGCATCTTCCTCTTCCAAGGCCCTTCAGCTTCACACAAGCAGCTCTTGCTCCATCTACCGACCACACAAAGCATTACACCATCCAACCAACCTCCCTTCACCTGCTCTTGGCTCTAAAATATGTCTGCAAAGCTTCCACGTGCACAGTGCATACATACATAGCCAAGACCTGTCCATCTAGGCCTACACATGCCCCCACAATGGCAGCTATGACCAATCACCTGAGTGCAAGTCTGCACCCTTCTCCTGGGGGATGCTGCTGCTTTTACAGTTTGAAGGTCTAATGTTTATTGAATGAAAAAAATACAAATGAAAGAAAAAGCAGAAAGTAAAATGTCATAGCATTACCCAAATTTGCAATAGGCTGCCATAGAACTGGAAAAGACTAAAAAGGACATTGTTGGGCAATGTCCCAAAGTATAACAGATTTAATCTAAGGCTGAACTTTGGGCCTGCACACCATCCTGTAAAGGACATTAGGGTGACCTCTGCAGCCTAATCAGTTTTGCCAAATTAATAGGAAAAGGCTACTTCAGAGTTAAAAAAGGCAGAAGGACTACAACTTCAGGGTTGAGGGGAGTTGGAATGTTGTAGATGCAGAGCCAAACTATGTTGGGGTGAGCCTTAACCCTATTGGCAGTCATCCACTCTAATCCGATACAAACCTTTGGAATGACTTTAGCGTGCCTCCTGCTTCCTCTAACCCCACAGCTCAGAGTGTCACCAGGCAGGATCCCTGTCCCACAGCACACATCTCCTTAGTTAACACACCTACCTGACATAATTGGGGAAAAAAGCCTTTTGTTCTATAGAGTTTCAGGAAACTATTTCCATGTAGGAATATGCTATTTTGGGCAACCTGAATCCCTGTTCCTGGGCCTCAGTAACTTATATTTGATTCAAGGATAAACTACTTAAAAAACAAAAACACCTAATTTTTCACCAACCAAAAGGCTGAGCCATCAGGTAACATCCAAGGCCTATAGCTATGAGTTTTCCAAGTGTCTATAACCCCTGTGCCCACCTAATGTTTCCACCAGTAAGTATGTATACATATATATAGCTTCATTACATTCGTTTATTATTTCAGAGTGCGTGTATGCGTGTCTGTCCACCTCGCTTTAAGACAGGCTCTTTCACTGGCCTGGACTCACCCATTAGCCTAGGCTGGCAGCAGTGAGCCCAGGGATGTTTCTGCCTTTGCCTTTCTAGCCCCGAAATTACAAGTGATGCTACTACATGCAGCTTTTTACTGTGGTTTCTGGGGACTGAACTTTAGTCCTCATGATGGTAAAGAGAGAACTTTACCTAATGAGTCATCTCTCCAGGCCTTCGTTAATCATTTTTAACAGGGGGTCATGTATTTTAATTTTATACAGTCCCTGCCCCACCTCAAAATTATGTCCCTGGTCTGAATGGTCTCTGAATTGGAAAACATATTCAATTCTCAGCAGCTCCTCACACAGGGCTTGGACCAGAATGACCTCAGAGTCTTTTGAAACACACTAGTTTCAATTGTGAGACTTGACCTCAGACCATCATCTCAAAACAAACAAATAAACAAAAGCGAACCACAACACATCATGAGAGGCAGGTGAGATGGCTCAGTGGGTAAAGGCACTTGTCCTGCAAGCCTGAGGATGCCAGTTCAATTCCTAGGGCCCACCTAAAGGTGGAAGGAGAGAAGTGAATCCTGAAAGTTGTCATCTGACCTCTACACAGCGCATGCACGCGCACGCACACACACACACACGCACACACGCACGCACGCACAACATAAACATAAGTACTGCCTTTCCTTGAAAAACCTAATTTCTTCTTGTTTATCATTGTTTCCCAGAGGAAGGTGCCATGAGACACTCATGGAGATGCTAGTGAGAAAGAGTTAGTCAGCATTAGCCACACAACAAATGCAGAGGCAGTCTCCCCACACAAATGCAGGAAGCACAAGGCACATACTCACATCAAGGGACTGGTCACCCTGGGCAGAGAATGCAGGACATAAGGGAAGGTTAATATCCAGTGTTGAGCAAAGCATTCAAAGGGATACATGTCCTTGCATTTTGTTGTTGTTTGGGTTTTTTTTGTCTGTTTTTGTTTTTTGAGACAGGGTTTCTCTGTATTGTTTTGGAGGTTGTCGTGGAACTTGCTCTATAGACCAGGCTGGCCTCGAACTCACAGAAATCCGCCTGCCTCTGCCTCCCAAGTGCTGGGATTAAAGGCGTGTGCCACCAACGCCCGGCTCCTTGCATATTTTAAAAACAAGTGAGGCTATAAAAGTAAAACTCTTTCTTAAGGACAAAATAATTTTAAGAAGTAATAAAGCCTACTAATAAGGTTTTCATTTTTCTAGTCAGATCAATCTTTGCCCCAAATCATCTATACGGCCCAAGGAGACTGCTGCAGGTGCTCTGTGCACTGTATTTGGAGAGGGCCAGGAAATACACTCATGTCCTGGCCTCTGCACCACCAATTCCTCAAGGAAGTCAGAGTCTATGCACAGCAATGCCCACATTTCCAGAGAACTCGAAAGGCTGGGCACAGAAACACAAACTTTGACTTGGAAGTTGTAGCTGCAAACAGTAAACTCATTAGGCAGAAACTACTTTCTTTGTGTGTGTGTGTGTGTGTGTGTGTGCGTGTGTAGGGTCTTACTATGTAGTCTTGGCTAGCCTGGAACTCACTCTGTAGACCAGGCTGGTGTCAAATTCACTGAGATCTGCCTGCCGCAATATCCAAAACGTTACAGCAGCTGTCCAATTTTAATTCAAAAGAAAGGAATTGTTGGCTAGCTTTCCCTCCCTCCCTCCTGAAACAGACAGTTTATTAAGGAAGGAAAAGCATCCTGGGGATGGGAGAGGGCTAGTAAGCTGATACCAAACTCAAAAGCCTGTATATTTATTTGGTTTGAAAGTACAGGAAGAGGAAGCTAGGGAACAGCCTTGTTCCTCAGGACATGATTTTCAAGGCAGGGTCTCCCATTGGTTTGGCGATCAACCAGTAGGCTTAGTTTAGGCTGGCCGACCAGGGAGCCCCAGGATCTCCCTGTCTCCGTCTCCCCAGCACTGGGGTGATAAGTGTGTGCCTCCACTCTGGACTTTCTTACATGGTTCTGGGGAATGGACTCAGTTCCTCATACTGCAAGGTGAGCACTCCTGACTCAGTGACAGCTCCAGCCCCAGTGTTATGGAATATGACCAGCACCCGCTCCATACCTGCCATATTCCAAAAGCGTGGAGTGGACTCGGGACTCCTCGTCCAGCAGCTCCTCTGCTCCCTGCTGCCGCCTATACTTGCGACGGGGCTTGTAAGTGTCCTGAGGGGATGAGAAAGACAAGGCATGGCATGAGAGGCTCCCCTGGACTGTAGCCTGATGCCTCCAGTGAGTAGACTTTTCCAACAGAATGGGGTACCTGGTTAGCTCACATCAGGGGCCTCAGATACGGAGAGCCTAGGTGTGATAAAACTAATTTTCAACTTGACATAACCTTGGAAGAGTCTAGGTCAGACTGGCCTGTGGACATGTCTGTGGGGTTGTCTGAATTGCCTTAATCCACGTAGGAAGGCTGAGCCTGATGGTGGGTGACACCGGTCCCTGAGGTTGGGCCCTGGACTGTGTAAGAAAGAGACAGCACGATGCTTGAGAGCTGTTCTCATAACGTTCTGCCACAAACATTCCTACTTTACCCCCAGTGTCTACACAAATAGCAAGCTATAAATAACACAAAGCAGACTTACACAGAAATGAAAACTAGAATGAACCCCTGACACTGTGACTACATGTAATTTAATTTCCACCAAGCTCTCCTGTTATAACAGCGATGCTATTCTCCTCAGTTACCATTGAGAGAGCCAATGACTCAAGACAGGAAATTGGATTCTTCTAAGAAAAAGACTTCAAAACAATAGCATAGGGAAATCCAGAGCCAAGGGGACCTTTTGGTGTGCAGAGCGGCAGCAGGCTGGCTCTGTGTGCTCTTTAAGCATGTCTCTTCATATGCATCTTACCTTTGGCACCCTGACACCACTATGAGGCAGAGCCCAGAGTGTTATTTTCAATTTAATGCTAATGAAGCAGGGACTGGAAATGCAGCTCAGTGAATGGAGTCCTTGCCCAGGATTCATAAGGCCCTGGGTTCCATCCTCAGAACCGCATAAGTGGGGTGTGGCAGAACATGCCTATAACTGAGCACTCCTGAGTCAGAGGAAGAGCATCAGAAGTTCGGTGTCATCCTCAGCTGCATAGAGATGCCAAGGGCAGTTGGGGGTACATGAGCCCCTGTCTCAGCAACAAAACAAAACAAAACAAAACAAAACAAACCCCAACAAATGAAGTAATTTGTCTAAAATCCTAGGATAGAATTCTCCTAGACACCATTAGGATAACATTAGCCTAGGATGGCATTATCCCAAGATAACTTTAGCCTATAGTAACATTAGGGTTAGTACAGCATTAGCCTAGGACAGCACTAGGCCTCAGATATCTGGCTTCTAATCTCAAGGCTTTTCTACTAACGTGCATGTGCTAGTCACTCTAGCACCCACGGGCCACCTCCCCAGCTGGTCCTCTCACAAGACTTGTTGCACAATCTGTAGCTGAGATATAGTTTGCTTGAGCAATAAAGACCTAACAACAGCTATTACAAGCCAACTGTAAAGAGCTACTGCTAAATCAGTCTTCAGAGTGATAGGCATCTTTCCCCCATCTCTGCTGCTAATTGCCTCTGTGATGCGAGAAAGGCAACTCCCTCCATTCAACAGGCCTCAGCTAGTATCTTAGCTGTAAAATGAGTGTAAACTAGCAAATTTTACAGGATATACCCAGTGTCTCACTCACTGTTAACATGGTTGTGTCAATTTCCAGCCTGAGAGCAACAAACAATACTGTTTGACATATGACTGTGTTCACTTTTTAAAAAGTACCATAAAGCCAGTCACATGGCTCAGCATGCAAGAGTCCATACTGCTGAGCCTTATGACTGTGGTTTAATCCCTGTACCTCATTGCATGTGGCTAGTCACACATGTATACATACATAATAAAGAAACCAAAACATTTATACAGAATCAACACACTAGTTTTTCCTTTTGTACATGTGTTTGTTTGGGGGTGCACATGGCTGTGGAGGCTACGGGGCATCCACGGGAGTCCTCCCCAGTAACTTTCTGCCTTGTTTCATTGTTGTTTTTAATTACATTTTATTTATTTGTTTGCTTATTTAGTGTGTATGCACACACCCACATGCAGACACATGACACAGCATGGGTGTGGAAGTCAGAGGACAACTAGTAGGAGGTTTTGAGCTTATTTTTTCCTTTTTTAACTTATTTAATGTGCAGTGGTGTTTTGCCATGGGTGTTGGGTCCCCTGGAACTGCAATTACACAGTTGTGAGCTGCCATGTGGGTGTGGTGGGAATTGAACCCAGCCAGGTCTTCTGGAAGAACAGTCAGTGCTCTTAAGCACTGAGCCATCTCTCCAGCCCTTTCCTGGGAGGTTTTATGAGACAGGGTCTCTCACTTTTACCAAAACTCACTGATTTTGTGAGGATGTCTGCCAGCATGTCCCAGGGATCCCTCTGTCCTATCTCCTGCCAACTGGATGTCAAGCTCATATCACCGTGCCGGGCTTTTTCATGTGTGTTCCAGGTAGTATTTTCCCCACTGAGCCATCTCCCCAGCCATACTGTTTTGCTACAAGTGCATGACAATCCAGCATTAGCTACTCCATAAGCACTGCCCACCACTCTTGTTCTCTGTTTATGGACAAAGCCTGCAGAGTTTCCATTTTTATTACACTATTTATCTTATTGCATGGCTGGGGGAGGGTGCGCATGGATGCCATGGTGCACATGCAGAGGTTAGAGGACAACCCGTGGGAGTCAGCTCTTTCCTCCTACCAGGGATAGGGGATGGGGATCAAATTCGGGTCGTTAGCTTAGTAAGTGTCCTTACCACAGAGCCACCTCCCCAGTCCTGAGTTTGAACAACCTGCCCATAGCTAACAAGGCGTTAAGTGATAGGGGTGGCATGACACAGAATGGGGATTCTTCAGGTCCTTTTCCTCCCTCACTCTGATCATCTCTCTTCACCGGCTCTGACATTTTGCCTTGGCAAGTGATAAGGACACGTAAATGGCATTAAAAAGTTAAGGTGACCCTTAAAACTATGTGTCAGGTGGCAGCTTTCCTCGCAGGGATGGTTACAGCTGCTTTCATCTGTCACAGTGACACCCCTGAGCCTACATCTGAAATGGCAGGGCAGGGAGAACACCACCGACCACTGAAGTGTCAAACCTCTGATCACTGCTCTCACAATTGCCAGGGACAATTGCTTTATTGAAATCCAGAGAAGTAAAGCGCCACTACCAATCTTTTGTTCTACACTTGAAGACTCCGGTGGGTCACTACACACCCTGCTTAAGAGGGAAGCTGCCTCCGCTGACCATAAATCCCTCATTCTCGCAGACTGGCATAACCTTTCTAGTTTCTTTTCTGTTGCTGTGATAAAATACTCTGACAACAAAGTACTTAGGGAAGGGATGGATTATGTAGCTCCTAATTCTAGGTTACAGCCCACCACAGCAGGGAGGTATGGGACAGCTGGCCACAGCACATTCACTATCAGACAGACAGAATGCATTATGCATCTGGCTTGCTTATGGGCCCTCAGTTTTATGTCTCCACTTTTACACAGTGCAGAAGCCCATCTATAGAACGGTGTTGCTCATAGTGGCTGGGTCTTCCCACATCAATTAACAGTTAAGACAATGTCCCCATAGGTCAACCTGATCTAGACCGTCCCTCACTGAGACTGTCTTCCTACGTGATTCTAGATTGGGACACTCAAAGCTGACCATTACAGCATCTCTAACAGACACCCTGCAGTCTAGGAGCTGCAAGTAAATTGCTTCCCACCCACGAGGGCATCACAGGTGCTTACACCCTACCCCATAAGAAAACAGCTGTAACTTACACATTAATACATATTAATAAAACAGCAAACAAATCAAAGTCCCTGGATACTAAGGGATGGAGACTGAGACACACAGACAGATAGACAGACAGACAGACAGGCAGGCAGGCAGGCAGGCAGGCAGGCAGGCAGGCAGGCAGGCAGGCAGGCAGGCAGACAGGCAGGCAGGCAGCCAGGCAGGCAGCCAGGCAGACAGATCAAAGTCCCTGGATACTAAGGGATGGAGACTGAGACACACAGACAGACAGACAGACAGATCAAAGCCCCTAGATACTCAGTGACAGAGACAGGGAGACAGACAGACAGACAGACAGTACTTATTTGTACATGCTCCTCCAGACACAGCCCAAACCTCGTCCTGTGTCTGTCTTTTCCATGAGCAGAGCTCTCCTACAGACCCTACCTTCTTCTCATGGGTCCTGCACAGGTACCACCTCCAGGCTCCAAGAGTCTGTACCAAATTGTGCGCCTAAGCCGGATATGGTGGTGCACACCTGTAATCCTGGCACTTGGGAGGTTGAGGCAGGAGGACTACCATAATTTCAAGGAAATCAAGGGGTACATGGTAAAACTTTGTCTCAAAAGCAAAACTTTAAGGATTTTCTCCCACTTTCTACAATGAAATGCAGCCTACAAACAATAAGGATGAAATGACGCAGACTTTGTTCCATTTGACTTCCTCCATGTTTTATCATCACTTTGAGACAACCGAAGTCCAGAATTATTTTTCTGAAAGCATTCCCGAGCCCACTCACAAAGCCATATAAACCAAACTCAACTTCTCATTTTACAGTGCAACACTCATTTCCATTAAACACACATTTGATATTTAATTTGAGGGGGTTACTATTATTACTGGCTTTTCAAGACAGGGTTTCTCTGTAATAGCTCTGGTTGTCCTGGAACTGACTTTGTAGAACCGGCTAGCTGCACAGAGATCCACCTGACTCCATCACTGAGGCATAGGGACCGAGTTTACATACCCAGAAGCTATGAAGAAAACCAGATGTATAATTTGAGCCTCTTTTTTTTTTTTCTCCCTCTATGTAACAGCCCTAACTCTCCTGGAATCATTTTGTAGACCAGGCTGGCCTTGAATTCTGACTCCTGAGTGCTGGGATTAAGGGAGTGTACCACCACTGCCTTGTTTAAGTTGAGAATCTTTAATCTTAGCTCTTCTACAGGGAGACAGACAGTGGAGGCAGGAGAATCACCAGAAACTCTTTGGGCGGATGTTCACAGTCAAATAACCAACAAAAATACCCTATCTTAAATAAGGTGAAAGATGAGGACTAACACCTGAGCTCCTCCTCTTACCTATGGTCCAGTCTTTGCAAATGAGATAGAGTAGAATGTTGGATGCACAATGAAGTTACAAGCCACATGCACAGTATATTGTATGCTGCTTCTAGGAGATAGAACTGGGCACCAGGCATAGATGCTCTGTTCTTGAAGTTACAAGCCATATGCACAGTGTATTATATGCTGCTTCTAGGAGACAGAACCGGGCACCAGGCATAGATGCTCTGTTCTCTTCAGCTTAAAGCCAGAAGCTTCAGTCTGACTCTGGCTCAGAGCATCTTATCAAAGCTCCCCGTCCCCACCGGGGAGGTAGATCATGGGTAAGACTCCAGTGATCAAAATGCACCACGTATGGTGATGTTCCTGCATGAACTCAAAGCTGCTTTGTCTTCCCAAAGCCATCATGGGGATGGGGGGGGGGCAGTGAGTTCCATTCACCATCTCCAGTTCATTGTCTGTTCTCTAGCTGTTGTTACTCCTGCTATTGGTGTAAGAAGGGGGTGCTTTACATTCTAATGTTTCTTCATTAAAACTGGAGCTAAGGACTTGGGGCATGCTTGTGTCCTGGTGCTGAGTGTGTAAAGCAGGCAGGGATACTAACAAACATCCTTTGCTGCCGGATCCTGGGTGACATGTGACTTTTTTTTCTTTTGTGTTTTTGAGACAAGGTTTCTCTGTGTAATAGCCCTGGTTGTCCTGGAACTTACTCTGTAGATCAGGCTGGCCTTGAACTCAGCCATCTGTCTGCCTCTGCTCTCCAGTGCTGGGATTAAAGGTGTGCATCACCACCCTACAGCTGACATGTGACTTCTATAGGAGATGTCTCAAGACTATGCATTGCTGGAACAGAGGCACATGGGCAAAGGGACTTACTGAGAGGTCAACAATGGTTTTGATGGCCTTGTCTTTTCTCTTTATGAAGTCATCATCCTGCAAGACAGAACACAGGAATCAACCAGTTCTACTGAAGACAAAATGCAGCTGGACATACAATTCTCCCTCATCAATCACTCCTCACTGCTGTGCATGAATTAGTACAGATTTGCTTTTTAAAATCTGTACATATGCATGTATGCATGTCTATGCATGCATGTGTAGGGGAGAAGACAACCAGAGCTGCTCTTCCTCAGGTGCTGTCCACCTTTTATTTGTTTGGAGAGAGTCTCTCACTGTCCTGAAACAAGTAAGCTAAGCTGGGAAGCCTGGGAGCCCTAGGGACCTGCCTGTTTCCACCTCCCCAGGGCTGGTATTACAGCCTAGCTTTAAAAATGTCCATTCAGGAATTAAATTCATTACCTCCTGCTTGCAAGGATCTATCTCCCCAGCTCTCAATTTTCTTATATATAGGGATATATCTCCCCGACAGCTAGGGCCTTTGCAAATAATGCAGACAGAGGCCTACAGTTAGCAAGAGAAAGAGAGGCCATGGAGAATAGTGATTCAGACAAACACCTGCATGCCCAGTCTTTGAAAGCACTGAACATTCCAGCAAGAACCTAAACTCTAAGTTTTCTTTCATCTACAAAACAGGGCACCAGCACCCCCATGGTGGAGCAGTTGCCAGGATGAAGCTGGAAGGCAGCGATGAGCCAGAGCATTTGATGGTGCTTAGTAATCTTACTGTCACAATTACTATGAGCTGTGCTTACAGGAAATGCACTACACAAGTAGTCTCCTAAAAAGCTTTTGACAAAAACAGAATCATGGGTCAAGGAGGTGGCTCATTCAATAAAGCGCCTGTCCCACAGGCATGAAGCTCTAAATTGGATACACCCTAGAACCCAGTAAAAAGTCAGGCCAGGTGGCACATATCTGTAACCCTGGCACTGGGAGGTCAAGACAGGAGGATCAGTCAGTCTAGATGAGTCTATGAGCTCGAGGTTCAGGGGGGAACCTATCTCAGAAAACAAGAGAAAAAGAAAACAGGAAAAAAAAAAGGAGGGGTGGAGAGTGAGGGAAATACTGGATGCCAATTTGTGGTCTCTACACACACACACACCCATTCATATAATACATACAAGACTTGCAATTTAGTAAAAGTTCTGGGTTGAATGCTAAATTTGAGAAGAGAACAATACCGCTGTAGAGATTTATCCTCAGTGCTATCTAGAGAGCAGTTCTGACGACGCACAAGACTGTTGAGAGGTGCCAAGTGGCGGGTGGGGTGCAGGAGGACCTACAGTTACCCCACCCCAGCACTCTCTCCGTGCACTTGCACCAGCAGAGAACAAGGGGAGGGGAGGGCACACACAAGATTGGCCAGGGACACCTCTTCTGCAGTGGGGAGTTAATACCGACAATTATGACTGGCCAGACTGCTGAAAATACGCAACTGCTGTGTGTTAAGACCTAAAGGAGACATGTATGTGAGATGCCACATGGCTCGGGGGACGACACAGAAGAGAATGCAGAAAAGAATGTAAGAGCTGGAGGATGGGGAGGAAGGAGGGCAGTAAAGTATGTGACATGGCTGCTGCGCCCATGAGCTCACTGTATCTGTGACCACCCACACAAGATGAGCCAGTGTTCCAGCAAGCAGCACTAACGGAACCAGTGGGTAGTAGGCAGTAAGCGAGGAGGGCATGGGTGTGGGAAGGGCATGTGTCACAGAATGTCTAGGCTGGGTAGGAAGGAGCTGGAAGTAGATGTGATCAAGATACCTTGTACATGTATAAAATTAAAGATTAAAAGGGGAAAAAGCCCCAGAAAGCTGGAGAGGCGGCTCAGTGGTTAAGAGCTGTCACTGCTCTCGGAGGACACAAGTCAGCTTCCTAGCATGCATGTCAGGTTGTAGCAGATCTCGCCTTGCCAGTGAATTTGTGTTAGTGGCCATACCCATTTGGGCGTGGCTTCAGGTGCAGATGTGACCAGAAGGTAGAAGTGAGGGGCAGGCACTCTCTCTTGTGTCTGGATCACATTGGAAGGGCAGAGACTGCATCTTCTGGAGCAGGGAGACCACAGTTATTTATTCTTATCTGTGTAAGTGCTTCCCTAATAAATACCTATTTATTTTGGGTCTAGTGAGCTCATTAATACCCCCGCCTTCATCAGGAGGTTCATAATCTCCTAGAATTCTAACTCCAGGGAACATGACTTCTTTGGCTTCCTCAGGCACCATGTAAACACACACACACACACACACACACACACACACACACACACACACACACTCTACAACTTAAATAAACCAAGAAAATAAAGGAAGGAAGGAAAGAAGGAAGAGAGAGAGAAGAGAGAGAGAGAGAGAGAGAGAGAGAGAGAGAGAGAGAGAGAGAGAGAGAGAGAGAGAGAGAGAGAGATGGAACATCCCAGGACTTAAAAGCACCTAATAAATAAGAGGAAAGTGGAGCACGGTACTGACCTCCGGGAGGCTGTAGGTCTTCTGGAACTGGGATATAGAATAGGAGCGGATGTAGTCACCCATTTCTTCCTTTGTTTCTATAGCTCGCTTCACCAGCCACTGGGGAAGAAAGTGGGAAGTGTGAGGTGACAGGAATGGACTCCTACTGCAGTGAATCTACTCAACCCGTGAACTCAAATTAGTGTGGCTGAACTAGGGAGAAATCATGAGCACACACTGTTCTACTAGAAGAGCAGCTAGCTGGGCATCCGAGAAGCTAAGCCCTGGTGACCTTGTGTGCCCAGCCATAAGTAACTGCAGCATTTGAAAGCTACTCACGTCATCAGGCCTGTCTGTCTCTGTCAAGGGAAGGAGGATCAGTTCCTTGACATTGTTTTATTGCTGAGACAGGGTCTCATGTAGCCCAGGCTGACCTCAAACTCACTATGTAGTTGAGGTTGACCCCAAGTGCTGGGATAACAGGCATGTAGTGCCACATGCATGTCTGTACACCACGTGCACGTACTGCCTAGAGAAGAAAGAATCTCCTGTACCCACCGTTGCAGATGGTTGTTGGCTGCCATGTGGGTGCTGGGAATTGATTAGATCCTTTGGGAGAACAGCCAATGCCCTTAAGTGCCAGGACATTTCTCCAACCCCTCAATATTCTTTTGTTTTATAAGATTTACTATGTATATGTAATATGTGTATGTAATATGTATAATATGTGTATGTAATATGTACATGTAATATGTGTATGTAATATGTATATGTAATATGTGTATGTAATATGTATATGTAATATGTGTATGTAATATGTATATATGTGTATGTGTATGTAATATGTATATGTAATATGCATATGTGTATGTGTGCACGGGGAGGATGAGCACATAAGTGAGGAAGCCTGCAGAAGCCAGTAGGGGGCACTGGACGGCCAGAGAAGTTGTGAACTGTGTGACATGGGAGCTGGGAACTGGACTCTGATCCTCTGGAAGAACAATGAATGCTCTTAAGGGCTGAGCCATCTCTCCAGCCCCAGTTCCTAGATATTCTAGATAGCAAGAAACTACAGCATGAGTAAAGCAACTCACAGTGTTAGAGCTCTTAGTGGAGACCGGAAGTTCAAGGCAGAGATCTGGACAGATGTTTTTATCATCATCATCATCATTATTATTACTATTAACACTTGTATTGACTATTTTGAAATTTCACATAATGCACCCCAATCATATACACTTCCCAGTCCTCTCCAGTATAACCCCCACCCTTACGACCTCCCCCAAAACAAAAGAGGAACAAGAAAAACATACCAAGCCTAATTTGTGTTGTCCATATACTGACCGGAGCATGGTCAAACTCCCAGTGGCCAGCTCCTTAAAGAAAACAGAGTCCTTCCCCACCCTGTCCCACCAGAAGCCATCAACTGTGAAGAGCTACACTTCAGCTTCCCTATCACAATGTCTAAGAGTTCTCTTCAATGGCTTCATGTCTAGACTGTTTCTTTGCAGGGAAGGCTTTCACAGAAGCATTCTACGTCTCTCATTCTCAGCTGTGAGTCTGCAGCCATTGATGCCCCTGCAAAAGTAGCTTCCTAGCCCTTTACAGTCAGCATCAGCACAGATCGTGGCTTCTGCGGGCTTTCTGGCTACAGCAAGGGCCACAGATATCAACATGGCTTCAGGTGGAAAAAGAATACGCAAGATGGGTTTTTATTGTGGTTCCTAGTCCCATAAGGCTGGCATCCGGAAGCCCCCAGCTCTGCTCTCCCTAGTTTCCAACTTAAAAACTCCATGTAACTAAAATGAACACACATGCTATTGTGTAATATTTTCCTCCAAGACGGAAACATTCTGTCCTACAGGAAAACTCTTTAAACAAGAAGGTAAACAACTCAAAATAATGTCAGGAATTCCCTGAAGCTGACCAGGTCCCTCCTTGCCAGAGTAAGCAATAAAGGTGAGAAACCCCCTCAGACAGAAGGAAAGCAAACGGCAGAGACTCTCAGACAACCAAAGCTGTCGACACGACTCTGAGACCAGCCCAGCAGCCCAGAAGAAGCCGAAACCAGGGGAGCTGCCCGGAAGAGGTTTAGACCCGGAAAGGACACTCTCCACCTGTTGAGCTGCCTGTCGGCTGCGCAGTGCACTCCAGGTTCCCAGCTTTGTCAGTTATGCTCAGGTGGGCCTTGCTGATGCAGCTGTATTGAGTCATTTGTGCTCCTGAAGTGACCCCTCACCCATATGCCTGTAAGTAACTCTATTGAACTCACTGGTTCCCCAGGTTGGACTTTGGTGGTACCATACTTTGGTTTGTTGTGGCTCCCTATCTGTGTGAGTAGACTTATGTGTATGTCCCCCCAGGAAAAGTTTGGTCACACAACATGAGCACAAACACAAATATGCACAACACACACAGATACACGCACACACACACCCTGTGAACAATGCATGCACTGAGCCTCTACTTCTCCTTCCTGCTCCTCATTAATTCGCTCCGTCACTCAAGAGCACGGTTGAAGAGAGAACCATTTATCAGAGTTGACAGTCCTTCCTCAAAGAGCACTCTTATATCCTCAAAGCAATTTGGGGATAGTGGGGTTTTACCAAACTCAGCATACCTGGCCAGGTTGAATTGCCTAGACACCAGATATATGGCCCATAGCAAGGTACGCCTGTAGGAATGGGGAAATCGTGTAGCTTTTTTAATTGTGTGCAGGGTACACACTTATATGTCATGGCTTGCATGTGGAGGTCAGAGAACAACTCTGTGGAGTCACTTTACTCCTCCCATCTTTATCTGGGTTCTGGGAATCACATTTAGGCCTTCAGGGTTTTACAAGTGCTTTACCTAGAGAGTCATCTCAATGACTCAAATTCTGCTTGTTCGGAAGGGAGCCAGCACAAGTAAAGGACGTGATTAGGAAGCAGGTGCCCAAACTAAGTTGGCTTCATGAATGTAACACGCTACACAGCACATACACCATGGGACATGCTCCTGTGCTGTGCATACCCTAGGAAGAACGCTTCTGCTATTAGCACCTTCCACTTATTTCCACTACAGCATCAATCCCACCACCAGCAGACACTGCCTGAAATCATCAGCAGGGCAGGAGGAGAGAGAATTAGGCTGTACGGGAGCCTCCTCTATTCCCACCAAGAACCATGGCCCTAGGTCTCACAGTGTCTGTCCTAGTTTCCTTTCTGCTGCTGTGCTAGAAAACAGGGTAGGAGAGGAAAGGTTTCTTGCATCTCACAGTTACAGGCTACAAGTCCGTCACTGTGAGGAGGTCAAGTCAAACAGTCACATCTCAGCCACAGTCAAGAGCAGAGAAAAAGGAATGCATGCAGGCCTAGTGTCTGGCTAGCTTTCTCTGCCCTTAGAGTTCAGGGACACAAACGAGGAATGGTACTGCTCACTTCAGGCCGCATCTTCCCACATCAATTACGAAAATCAAGATTATTCCTCACAGACATACCCAGAGGCAGGCTGATCTACACAGCACAGTGCTACTCCCTTCCGTCGTGGTTCTCACTTGTGTCAAACCGAAGACGAGAACATGGGAACTAACCATGAAGCCAGGTGTGGTGGCACATGCCTTTAATCCCAGCACTCGGAAGCCATAGGGAGATGGATTTCTGTGAGTTTGAGGTCAGCCTGATGTACAGAGTGAGTTCCAGGACAGCCAGGGCTGCTATACAGAGAAACCCTGTCTCAAAAAAAAACCGAAAACCCAACTAACAACAACAGAAAACAAACTAACTATGCAGTGCTCATCTCAGCTCATCTCTACCTCCTTGTGGATGGGTCGCTGGACCCCGATGCTGACATCTCATGTCTGTTTCTATTCCATCTTTGGAGGTGTCCTTTGTTGGGTCACAGAGAGTGTGATCTGGCAGAGAAGGTAAAGGCTGCATCCAAGGAGCCTCTCAGAGAAGAGAGTTCGCAAGTTCTCACTGTCAAAGGTAATGGAGGGAACCTCTCTATCATGACTCCCATAGCACTTGAAAAGAGTATCTACTTTCTTAGACTCAGATCCAGTATGGGAGAGGAAGACATGTCTTAGGCAGCTGGTCTAGTCTACTTGGCAAGTAGGCACATAATGATCAATGCCCAACACTGTCCTCTGACTTGCACTCACATGCATGCCCATGTGTGCATACCCACATACATGATCACCTGTATGCCCCTACATATATACAATTCCACGCTGGTGCACTAACAAACCTATGTGCGCGCGCACACACACACACACACACACACACACACACACACACACACACACACACATACACACAGAGCTAAACAAGAAAAACAAAAGCATTTGATGGGAACATCCAAAGATGGTGGCAGTGGCCAGTGTGGAACTATGGTGCATGGAACACCAGCTGTCTTTTAAGAGTGATGACAGAATCCCCATCAACTGAGCTGCACCAAATCTATCCCATACTCACTGCACCCGAGATCCAGGCTGGGCTGCCTGAGAGCCAGATGTATTCCAGGGACTCTTAGTTCAGAGACAAGAACCCACACAGAAGCCCTCACCTGCACAACAGGGAATATGTGAATAAAATCCATGCCCTGGATCTGGTGGGGCTCCAGCTGGTGGGGACACTTCATCCTTGGGAGAACTGAGACAATCTTTTCCGATAGAGCTCTGTCCAGAAAAACAAAAACAAACAGAGTGAGGACACTGAGAGGCTCTAAAGACATAGCTGATATTTAGGCAGTCCTCCCAAGAAGTCTTGGCACATGAGAAGCGCAATTCAGTCACGTGCGTGTAAGGTTACAAAACTGACTCTCTCTCTCTCTCTCTCTCTCTCTCTCTCTCTCTCTCTCTCTCTCTCTCTCTCTCTCTCTCTCTGTCTCTCTCTGTCTGTCTCTCTCTGTCTGTCTCTCTCTCTGTCTGTCTCTGTCTCTGTCTCTGTCTCTCTCTCTCTCTTTCTCTCTCTCTCTCCTTTCCCCCTCCAACAAATGCAGCCTAGGCTGGCCTCAAACTTGCTAAGCACACAAGAATGATGCTCCTGCCTCCACCCTGGTGCTGGTGTTACAGGTTTGTGCCATGATTACACGTGGTGCTGGGGGTCATCTACCCAGACTCTACACTAAGCCAACGGAGACAAGCAGCTCTCTGGTTCTAGATCCCAGCTCAGTGTGGGTCTTTATGAGCAGCACACTGGCACGCTGTTCTTGAGCACCATATTCTTCAGCAGGAGGGGTGCTCCCTCTAGTGGGCCACAGAGCTATAGCTTGCAAAAGGACCGTTTGGTAACTTAGAATCCAGAGGCGGAGATTTCAACAACACAGAGCCAATCTTCTGCCTCTGGAGAGGGTTCTCCCTGGCCACTCACTCCTCATGGCCAGTTTAACCAGGCAATTCATAAACGCCTGGAGGGAAGGATATAGCAAGCCATTTTGGATTTTATGAGCCTCTTAAAACTGCCTCCCAGAAACTATAGCCAAGTCCAGACAGTCCCAGGGACAAATGGGAGTGGCTGCCAGCACTAACCCTGATGGCAGGAGCAACAGGGAAGGGGGAGAGGCAGGGGAAAGAAGTCAGGAAGACTTCTTAGAGACGGTCATCAGGGGAGCTCGGACTCCCTAAAATGTCAGGAGAAGGGGTGTCCCAGTAAGGTCTGTCAACCTGTCACAGCCTGGACTCTTGAGTGGAGAGCCTTAATTGAGGAACTTCCCTGATCAGACTGTGTGTACACTTGGGGGATTCTCTTATTAACTGCTATAGATTGCCCAGTCCACGGTGGGCAGCACCACCCCTATGCAGGTTGCTCTGGAGGATATAAGAATGCTAACCAAGCACGAGCCTGGAGGTGAGTGAGCCAGCAAGACTCTGCCATGAATACTGCTCCCGTTCCTGCTTGAGTTGCTGCCCTGACTTCTTCAAAAATGGACGGTGACCTGTAAGACAAATAATCTCTTTCCTCCCGTGGCATCCATCACAGCAACAGAACAAAATCAATAAAACAAGGCACAAGTGTATGTTACCAGGCAAGCTTCCTACCTTAAGATCGTCATTGCAGATTATGTTCTATGTCCCAGGATAGCCTCAAAATTATAATCCTTCTGCCTTAGCTTCTTAAATGCTTGGATTACAGGTGAGTATCACCACACCCAGACCACTCTTTTAGAGCTTTCGGTGTTAGACACACTGATTCCTCCTCCACTACAGTCAATTTGTCCTGGATCTAAACCCTAGCACTATCGCCACCTCCGGGATTTCTAGCGAGTAACCAGCTTGGGCTGACAGGACCCACATGGTGGAAGGAGAGACCCAATACCATGTAAGCTATGGAACACACACACACACACACACACACACACACACACACACACACACACACAACACATAACAGAAAACTTAGAATGTGGAAGGAAAAAGGAATAATCCTCATCTCACCCGTTCAAAGGCAGGACACATGATAAAATGCATGCACAGAGCTGGGATCCCTTCATCTAGAATCCTTTCTCCTGCATGTCTCCCAGTCTTCCCCAGCTGTAACTGTTCCCAGTACTGACGCAGCTTCCATATATATTTTACTCCTTCAAGATTTACTTTTAACTTTTTACTTATAAATGTGTGTGTCCAGATACCTTGGGGCTAGAGTTAGGCTGTGTTGGCTAGTTTTATATCATCTCTTCAGCCACACAGTTTACTCCTCATTTGATATCTGTGTCTGTGCCATACTAATTATAAGCTTTACAGAGGCAGGGCACGTCTCCTCAGTGTTCCCAAAGAGCCCAGAATACCGTCTGACCCACAGCATTCATACAGACTTGATGAATATTTATTGAAAGGATTAACAAAGAGACTCTTTCAGTCTTCTGCTTTAAACAGTACCTTTACACTGGCAAGGTGGCTGGCTCAGTGGGTTAAGGAATTTGATGCTAGACCTGAAAACCTGAGTTCTGTCCCTGGGACCTAGTTATCTTCACACACACACACACACACACACACACACACACACACACAATTTAAGTAGCATTAGGTCAAGGAGATTGTATTTCCTTATTCTTCTGATCCCATTCCTGTATTTAGTAATTACTATAAAAACGATTACACACTTAAGAATCCACCTACAGATAAATCATAGAAAGTTAACTGTTATCATTAACATAATGCCCTTTATTATTTAGAAAGTGATGTTAGGATAGTAGTTGGAGGTAGAAGGTCAGATAGAGAGGTTAAAATGTCTACACGATAGAAACCAGGAGAAACCACATGATGTTAATGGGTTAAGAAACAGAATCTTGCGCTGAAGAGAGGGCTCAGTGAGTAAAGGGACCGTCTTGCAAGCCCAAGGACCTGAGTCGTAAAACCCATGGGTGGAGGGGGGAAGTGAGACAGGGTGATGCACCACTGTAATCCCAGCACGGGAGAGGTGTAGACAGGCGTCCCCTGGGAAACACTGGCTTGTCAGCCTAGCCAACTGTGCAAATTCCAGGCCTTAAAAAACGTAGACAGTGCTTTAGGAACAAGCGCCTAGGTCATCCCCTGGCTTGCTCGCACTCGCGCGCGCGCGCACACACACACACACACACACCCCAGATTAAATACAGTTTTATAGCATGAGAAATGAAAAAGAATGTATATATAAACATGCAAGCACATCTCCACCATAAAGCCCCCCATTAGATTCTTCTATGGCAAACCCTGGCAACTTACATTTTCTGACCGATTGTAGAGTTTTCCTGAAAGAGCAAATCCACATCCACATCAAAGTTGCAAGTGGTGATACACCATGTCATTCCTCCTACTACCTGCAAGAAAGGAGAATGCTGTTTCTCATGAACCCCTCACGAAAAGCCGGCGTGTGTGAACTGAATTCCTAAACAGTTCATACAGGCTCAGTAAGTGCACAAAACTATAAATATCTGCTGTGTGTGCACGTGTGTTCACGTGTGTGTGCACGCATGTGGAAGCCAGATACCAAACACTGGGATCTGTCCTCAGATGATATAGACCTTGTTTATTGAGACAGAAATCTCTCACCAGCTTGGAACTTGCCAATTTGATTAGGCTGGCTGGCCAGAGAGCCCCGTGAATTTTCCTGTCTCCATGTTCCCAGCGCTGGGATGACAAGTGCCCACCACAGTACCCAGATTTTGATATGGATTCTGGGGGCTAAACTTAGGTCATCATGCACACATAACACTTGACTGACAGCTATCTCTGCAGCCTTACCAAATAATATATCCTTAGAGGGAATGTGTCTTCTTTACCCACCATTCATCAACTAGAACTGCTCTAAATCCTTCTGCAGTGGTGGCAACGTCCATGCCCACACTGCGTGCTACAGAAGCTACCGTCCCTGCATGGCTGCTGACCATTCAAAGTGCTGCCAGTGTGTTCACCTGTTTGTGGGCTTATGGGGGCCAGAGAGACATCAGGTGTCCTCTATTCCATGCCTGAAGTTTCTGAGACAGGGTTTCTCACTCAACTTGGAGCTCACCATAGCCAAGGAGCCTCAGGGATCCTCCATGTCCCCAGTGCTGGGAGTACAACCGTGCGCCACCACAGCTAGCCTTTTATATGCATTCTGGAGCCTGAACTCAGATCCTCATGCTTGCACACCATTGAGAGATTTCTTACCCAGCTTCTTAGTGCCAGATAGACAGAGATCATGTGTTTTACCAACCAGCCACATGGGCATCAAGGCTGATATTCTCTGGCTCCTTATTTAAAAGCTGAGATGTACAATTAAATACACATTCCCAGGTCTCCAGCCTGGACCTGCCTAAGCCGTTCAGTGGAGGAGGTCTGGACATGCTTCTTATAAAACATCCCTTGAGGGTTCTGCTACATACAGGAGGAGGACAACACCCAGGAGCACGCAGCACAATTTCCTGGCCTACCTCGCCATGAGTCCCAGATGCTTGAGGAACACAGTCTACTCCATATCATATAATTTAGTCCCTGCCTGTTGGTACACTTGCCACTTCTCTGTAACAGTGAAATTCTCTGAGTGAAAGACTACCGTTTATCTCTGTGTCCCCAACACCTCATTCTGTGTCCCATGCATGATAACCATTCACAGTTCTCTTAACTTAAAAAAAATACAACTCCAGGGCTACAGAGATGGCTCAGTGGTTAAGACAGCCTGCTGCTCTTACAGAGAACGTTGAGTTTGGTTCCCAGCATCCACACTGTTAACTCCAGCTCCAGGAGATCTAATACCCTCTTCCAGCCTCTATGGGCACCTATACATACTGACACACATACACACATAATAAAAAGAAAATAAATCTTAAGATTCCATTTCATGGAGAAGCTCCCTCCTCTAAACATAGCAGCTGACATCTACAGAATATCTGCTATTGTTTCTAAGTATTTGGTTCAGGGAAACTATGAACTCAGGCTATTTTCTACATATACTATATAATTCCTACCCAAACTGTATGCTCCTTAAAAGAGAAATGATTTCTTGTACATAAGTAGTGTTCATATGTGTGCATGTGTACATACACATACATGCACACACAGAGCCACAGGTCCACTAGCTGAGACAAGGTTTCTCAGTGTCCTAGAACTCATCAATTTGGCTAGGCTGCCTGTCCCTACTTCCCCAGCACTGAAATTACAAGCATGGCACCTGCTACCAGGCCTGGCTTTTTTTTTTTAAACATGGGTTCTGGGGTTCCATGCCAGGTCCCCATGCTTTCCTAGCAAGCATTTTACTGACTGACGGAGCCGTGTCCCCAGCCTGAGAAAATGGTTCTTTTGTTTGTTTACAACTCCTAAAACACTGTGCACAGAAGAGGAATCCAATTACATCTATTGACTTGTAATTCTCTTTGAACAGGAAGTCTGAGGACATCCAGGATGAGTCTGGCTGGGGAGGAACGGATTCATGGGTACAGAGGATGTAAAAACACAATCACCTCATCCTCCACTATCTTCGTTAACCGTGCTGTCCTTTGAAGAGCAGCGCAGCAGTCAGCAAGGCTTTCTCTTACCTTGTCAAAAGGAGACAAGCCTTTGATTCTTGCTCTGAAATACCCAGCTGCAACCAAGAGCTCCAGAATTTCAGTCAACTTGACGTTCTGTTCTTCATCTTCTCTCGTTTCCACCTAGAACAAAAGGGATGTGTATACTGGTAAAGGCCATCTTGACTGAATGGAAACAAAATATACCTTCCTGGTGCCACTGTCACATTGCCAAAAGTCAGCTGATTTTGCCTGAATCACTGCAGTATTTTCTCAAAACTGCTAAGATGGCTCAGTGGATGGAGCACTTATCCCATGAGCATGAGGACCGGAGTTCAGATCCTCAGAAGCCATGTAAATGCTGGGCAGGTATGATGACCTACCTGTGGTTCCAAACTTGGAAAGCAAAGACCACAGTCTAGCTATTAGTAGCAAGACTAGCCCAACTGGTAAGCTCTAGGTTCAACTGAGAGGCCTTGCCTCAATGAATAAGGTCTAAGGTCTCGGCTGACTGAGGGAGAGACCTGATGTCAACCCAGCTGCACATGCACATGTACTCACATGCGGACATCCACACACGCATGCATAAATGTATGTAGAGACCACACACACACACACACACACACAAAGTCGGAATCCTTCAACTATTCAGTCTTCATGTGTCATGAAGATACTTCCAAGAAGACGGCACTACCTCCCAGAAGGACCGTCTCCCACCTCAGCTCATGTGTGCATCGTTCCTGCAGGCTGCCTATGCAAGTGTACTGAGGCCTCTTGTCCACTCACCCCAGAACGTAGAACTACATTTGTGCAAGAGAACCCATGAGGTCAGTTTTGGCACAAGACACTGTGTGGGGATGTTTGATCCCAAATTCACTTTACCAATTAGCACTGAAACAAAATGGGAAGGTGCCATGGGCTGAAACACAGAAAACAAAAGACCATCGTTTCTTGAAGGCATAAAAAAAAAAAAACCATGACACTGGTTAATACATCCAGTTACTAAACCCAGAACACTGACGGTCAGAGAGATAGCTGGTGGTGAAGGGAACACACTGCTCTTTTAGAACACCCATGTTCAGTTCCCCTAGCCCGCATCAGACAGCTCATAAGTACCTGACCTCATCTCCAGGGTATTTGACACCCTCTTCTGGCCTCCATAGGCTCCCAAAGTCACTGGCACATGAAGACACACAGCCATACACAGAAGTAAAAATAAATAAACCTACAACCAAAGCATTGATGAAGATGAATCGCCATGAGCCCTTAAACTGTCCTGCTCTCCACTGTAGCTCCTAGAAGCTAGAAGGGTCTAGCTCTCTTTCTTTCTCTCATATAGACACAAAGCGGCATAAAAATTGAATGGCATGAATTAACTGGATTAGTGAGAGCCAAGTGACAGGAATGTTGTTTTGTCTTTAAAGACAGGGTCTTATGTACCTGAGGTTAGCCTTGAACTGGCCGTGCAGTTGAGGACAATGACCTTGAATTTCTGATTCTCCTGTCTCCCCAGGTCTGAGATGACAAGCTCAGGCCACCACCCAATTTTTGCTGTGCTGGGGACAGAACCCAGGGCATGCTAAGCAAGCCCTCTACCAAGAACCCTCATTATTTGGATCTTTTAAATTTTATCCTTGTGCTATAGTTTTAGGATACAGGGCCACCATTTTTTGTTAAATGTATAGCTATGTACACACTATATAATATAGGCATTGTTTTGTTCTCTCTGGGTTTTTCTTTTTCTTTTCTTTTTTTTTTTAAGACAGGGTCATACTATGTACGTCACCCTGGCTACTCTAGAACTCTTTATGTAGACCAGGCTAGAAAAGTGCAGCAAACCAGAGCTAGTCTCCTACAGCCCATGAAGAGTCCAGCAAACTCTTAAGAGTGGTTCGTTTTTTTTTTTTAGAAAAACACCCACTAACTTGAAGGCTTTAAAATAGAACTGGAAGCCTAGACAGACTCTACAGCAGAAGGCCAAGAAAAGCCTTAGAGCTAGGGCAATAGCTCAGTCAGTAAAGTGCTTGCCTCACCCACATGAGGATCTGAGTTCAATCCCCAGATCCCACATAAATATGCCAGGCATGGTGCTGTGCACTTGTAATCCAGGACAGAGAATCCCTGGGACTCACTGGCGAACCAGTGTAGCTTATTTGGTGAGCTTCAGGCCAATGAGACTGTTTCAAAGGAGGTTTTCAGTGTTCTTGAGGATGACAAGAGAGGATATATTCTGGCCTCCACACAAATATTCATGTATGCACTTCAACACAGAGAGGAAAAGGGAGGAGGGAGGGAGGGAGAGGAGACAGAGGAGAGAGAGAGAGAGATCGAGAGAGAGAGAGAGAGAGAGAGAGAGAGAGAGAGAGAGAGAGAGAGAGAGAGAGAGAGAATGTTTAAGTGGCAAAGAAAACTTGAAATAGTACAGTGCAGACCCCACTTTTCACAATCCCAGGTAAAATCAGAACAGCACGCACATGAAATTTTACCTAATGGAGTTGTGACAGCTGATGACGCATTAGCCTTCCACTACTATAGCCTCACCTGAGCACAGAGAACACAGTGCCCCTGTAGCGAGTAGGATGCAGATGCAACAGAAGATTTAGAGCAGCACAGGAAGGCAAGATCGGTGCAGGTGAGTATCAATGGGTACTAGGCACAGTGCCAAAGAACCAGGCACGCCTCTGCCAAAGCCAACCTTAGAAAGGGGTACACGTGCAGTAGGGGTGTTCCCTATTTCTCCCTGGAAACTGGGACTCTTCACCGAGCTCTGGGCTTTGAGTAAATCCGGTAGCCAAGCTCTAACAGTGGCCCAAAGAGGATAGTTGAGCTTTTACTAAAGAGCAAGCGTGGAATCCTGTCCCTAGGATCGGACGAGTACTGACTGAGTGCTTGAGTACAACTAACCACGTCACACATGGAGAGGCCGTGCCTCTTTGGTTCAAGCAACAGTCTTCCTGTCCAGGCGCAGGGCACCACAGGAGAGGGTGTCCTCAACTCTGTCACCACCCCGATGTGCGCAAGGCTCCCAAACTTCCTCCATCTTCCCGGGACCGGGAAGCGGTGGGGGGGTGGGGGCTGTCTACAAGCTGGGAGGGTGGTATTCCTTCCCGACCAAAGGGAATGAGAGGCTGGCCACCTGGACCCCCACAGAAGGAGACGGGAGTCCCAAGGTCACCGCCCTCTGCGCACCCGGGGGCAGGACAGTCCCTCCGAATGTCTCGTGACTGCTGAGACTCCTGAGCGCAGCAGTCTTGGCCTCGGGGAGCCAGTCTCGCAACGTGAGGGGCTTCCAGACTGCCCGAGATAGGATTCCCGGGGACCTCGTGATGTGTGAGGTTGCAGCTGGGCAGGGACCGTTCCCTCTGTCCCCAGAAGACCCAGGAATCTTTTAAGTTTGCATCCAGCGGCACGCTGCACCCTTGTACGCCGGGGGACCAGTCAGCTGTCCCTCCAGGGTACCCAGGGCCCGCCTTGGGGCAGACACATCTGAGCAACCACAAAGTGTCCCCGCCGCCTCCCAAGCCGGTCCCTGCCCGCCGCCCCGGGCTTGGCCCTCTCTCCCCAGCAACCCCAGAGTGTCAGGGACAGAGGTCCTCACCTCCGGGAGCCCCTGGCCCTCCGGCCCCTTGGGCAACCCCATGATCCGGATGCGCTGATGTGGAGCCGGAGGGAGCCGGTCCTACAACCGAACTGTGATCCGGGTGGGGTGCAAAGCGGAAACTTCCTTCACAGGAGCTGACACTACCACAGCCGGTCGGAGAACCGTGGCCCCGCGGAGCATGCGCACTAGGGCGGAAGCGCTGTACCACTGCGCCTGCGCAAGGGCAGGAGGAGCTGCGGGGCGGGGCGGGACCCTGAGTAACCCGATCCTCCCCTCAGGGGCGGTACCGAGCTGAAGATTCCGCCCAGGCTACTTTTTCTTTCTTTTTAATTTTTTTCTCTTTTCTAATTTTTTTCCTTAAAAATATTTTCTTTCCATTTTTTTATTTTCCCCTCCTTTCATTTTCTTGAGAGAGTGCCTTAGCCAGCCTGGCTCTGCATTTGCTATATAGCTAAGGATGACCTTGAATTTATGATCCGCTTCCACACCCGACATAATGAGTTTATAGGTATATCTCACCATTCCCAACTCTATTTTTAAAAATCAGTTTACAAAGTGGCAGACTTCCTTATGGCATTTTCATAAGCCTTAGTTTTGTTAGCCTTAGCCCATGTTGTTTTCCCCACTATTCACTGTCCCATCCTTTCCCCTCTTATATCCTTCCACATCCAGTATTCCTCCCCTCAACCGTTTTGTGGTTCTTCTATTCCGTCTTCCTCAAAGCCACTTCTTGTCCTTTAAGGACCCTTTTCTAGCTTCTTGGCCTCCAAGGAGCTTCTTAAAAGGTATTTCCCTGTGTCCTGAGGATTTCTAGCAATCTTGTTCCTCCTCTCCCCTCCCCTCCTCTCCCCTCCCTCGTCTGTGAGTTCTGATGCTGTAAATGCAGTTCTCTCTAGGCCTTGCTTTGAAAGCTCCCAGCTCCTGAGTCAGTCCCTGCACAAATGCTCTTGCTTTATGTGGCTAAGGCCCAATTCCAGCAATGTTTAAAACACTCTTGTGCCAATATTGGAGAGGCTGCCTTAAATGCTCTTCCCCTATACTGAGATTGATGACTACCTTAAATGCCATCATAGAGCTTCATCCAGTAGCTGATGGAAGCAGAAGCAGAGATTCACAGCTAAGCACTGAGCTGAACTCCTGGAGTCCAGTTGCAGAGAGGGAGGAATGATGAGCAAAGGGAGTCAAGACTAGGCTGGGGAAACCCATAGACACAGCTGACCTGAGCAAGTGGGAGTTCATGGACCCCCAGCCTGACAGGTGGTGAATCAGCATAGGACTGAACCAGGCTCCCTAAACGTGGGTGTTGGTTGGGAGGCCAGGACAGTCTACGGGGTCTTTAGTATTTATCCCTAGTGCACAAATAGGTTTTGGGAACCCATTCCCTATGGAGGGACACTTTCTCAGCCTAGATACATGGGGGATGGCTTAGGTCCTGCCCCAAATGATGTGACAGACTTTGATGATCCCCCTCTTTGATGAGTGGATGGGGGTGGAATGGAGGACCAGAGGACCAGAGGGAGAAGGAACTGGGATTGGTATGTAACATAAGATTATTGTTAATTTAAATAAAAATTTATTTTAAAAATAAACACTCTTGTGTAATCAATATATGGACGTGAGGACAGAAACCCCCAAAAGGGATTATTAAGGTTTGTTGCCTCCCTTCCTCTGCATCTTATTTCCAGGAACCTTCATTTGGGGTAATAATCCCCAAGCCATCCCGTCCTGATGTCCCGAGTCTTCGGGAGAAGTACTTCACAGAATGCAGAGTGTTGTGCTCATGTGATACTAGCTGCAGCACTTATGTGTACCCCTTGTCTGCCCCAGAGGATGGCAGCAATAAGAAAGAAAGAGTTGTCTCTTTTCCCACTAGCCAAGTGCCTGCTCCATACAGGCTTCCCAGCTTATTTTCTTCTTAAGAGATGGAGGCAGAAGTTACACAAACTTGTTTGCTGCCGGCTAGAACTTTACTGAAGCAGGGGTGGCAGGGGAGGCAGGGATGCCTAGGATGGCAGGTAGAGAACTGTAAAAGCATGCATTCCTTGAGATTAAAGGAGTTTTGTGTTTGCTTCCCTTCTTCTTTATATCTCTGGCTTCAATTTTTTAAGGTTTATTATTTTTATTTTAGATGTATAGCTGTTTTGCCTGCTTGTATGCTTGTACACCTTAGTACTCACAACAGTCTGAGAGCATGAGATCCCCTGGAATGTGGGTTATAGATCCTTGTGAGCTATCCTGTGACTGATGGGAACCAAAGCTAGGTCCTCTGCAAGAACAGTAAGAGCTCTTAGCCACTAAGCTATCATTCCAGTTTCTGTGAAGGCTGTTTTTGGTTGTCAACTTGACTACATCTGGGATGAACTACAGTCCAGAAATTCAGGGCACATCTGTGGGAGACCTTTTGCTTGGTGTGAAGTGTGTGAATCCACTTCTAGTCTAGACGTTTGAGGCAGGACGCCTTTGATCTGGATCCTGAGGCGGGAAGACATGCCTTTAGTCTGGTCCCCATCTTCTGTGGGAAGGATGTAGAAGAAGGAAGATTTTGTTCTTTGCCTGCTTGTCCTTGCCTTGCTAGCACACCCATTCCTTCACTGACATTAGAGCCTACGTTGGGACTCCAGTATTTACTGAAGACTAGTTGAGACAGCCAGCCTTGTGGACTGAGCAACTACTAGATTCTTGGCCTTTCGGTTCATAGCCAGTCTTTGTTGGATTAGCTGGACTACAGCCTGTAAGTCATTCAGAGATTCATTCTGGAAATTGTTACTCCAGAGAGCCCTGACGGATACAGCTCCTATCCCCGAAGTCTTAGGAATTCATAGGAAGTAAATTTTTGTCCTTGGAGAACTTTGTACTTTTGGGTTTAATCCAAACAGAACAGTGGCTTCTCAGAACTCAGGGCACACAAGTGATAGGAAGGGTCTCAAGAACATCATACACTGACTGGAGACAGAGCCCAGTCCATAAAGTGATGGCTTTACAAGCATGAAGGTCTGCAAATGAGCCCCAGAATCTAGGGAGAGATGCCAGAAGGAGTGGTGTGCTTGTATTCCCCTGCTGAGGAGGCAAAGACACGCAGATGCCTGGGGCTTTCTGACCAACCAGCCTGGCCTTACCAGTGAGCTCCAGAAAAATATGAAACCAAAACAAGGAGGGTGCTTCCTGAGTCCCCCAATAATGGGAGTAATCTGAACATGTAAAGTGTTGAGAAGAGAACACCCTGGGTTGCAGATCTCGCTCTCACACATTAAAACTCATTTCTAAAGTGCCATTCATAACTCTCAAAAGACCTTATTTTTGTAACTTTAAACTGTCCTTCACTGACATGGTATACATGGAGAGGAGATTGAAGTCACACAGCGTCAAATATGGACTGCTGTCTCAGGAAAGTAGCCTAGGTCTTAGGCCTCACAATCAGGATGCAGGGAGGTCATGACATGAGTCTCCTGTTGTAAATGCCTTCACAATATGTTTCAAACAAAAAATAAAATGTGTGTGTGTGTCTGTCTATACATGGGTTTGTGCACATGAGTGCAGGTACTCTTGGAAGCCAGAAGAGTACACCAAACCCTTGGAGCTAGAGTTAGTGGTGGTTGTACTGCGCTAACTAATGACAGCCATCTCTCCATCCACCCTTTGCAATGTTAAAAATAAACCCAAGTAGCTAACTTTATTATTTAACTATCTCTGTATAATGGCAGCAGCAAAGCTGGGGTAGTAGTGTTCACTCTCTCTCTGTGTCTCTCTATCTCTCTGTTTTTACCAGTGTCTCCCAGCAGCAAAGCATGATAGCAGTCAAGAAGCTTTGAGCAGCACATATTTAAGATAGAACCTCAGTTGAAAAAAAGAAAAAACCAACTCCAATAGATTGGCCTGTAGGCAAGACTATAGGGGCATTTCTTGATTGATAATTGATGTAGAAAGCCCAGCCTACTGTGGGTAGTCCAACCCCTGGATCAGTAGTTCTAAGAAAGTATAGGAAATCCATTTCTCCTCTGTGGCCTTGCTTCAGTTCCTCATATTTTCTGCCTTGAGTTCCTGCCATGACTTCCCTTCACAATGGACTGTAAGCTGTAAGGTAAAATAAACCCTTTCCTCCCCAAACTGATTCTGGTCATGGTGTTTCTCACAGTAGGTAGAAAATAAACTGTGACATTGTGTGTGTGTGTGTGTGTGTGTGTGTGTGTGTGTGTGTGTGTGTGTGTGTACCATATGTGTGTGGGTGTACAGGAAGGCCAGAAGAGGAGTAACAGGCAATTATGGGCCTTTTCACATGGATTCTGGAAACAGAATGGACTATTGGAAGAACACCAAGTACTCTTAACCACTAAGTCATCTCTCCAGGCTGTTGCTACTGCTCCTTATTTTTTTATATAAATTTTTATTTAAATTAGAAACAATCTTATTTTACATACCAATTCCAGTTCTATCTTCCTCCTATCCTCCCATGCCTCCCATTGACCACCCCCCCCATCCACTCCCTAGGGAGGGTGAGACCTTCCATGGGAGATCATCAAAGTGTCACATAATTTGGGGCAGGGCCTAGGCAATATATGGGGCCTTTGGCAATGGAACCAGTTTTTATTTCTCCTTATTTTTTAAAATGTGGACTCTGGGGATCAAACTCAGTTCTCATGCTCGCAAGGAAAGCATTTTACCCACTGAACTATCTCTTGTCTCTTCTTCCTGAAAGTTCTTAACTGTATGTTATCTTTAAGTGGTAAAATGTGTGCAACTGTGCAATATGCATTCTCTATTTAGCATGACTTGATTTCTTTTGCTACTAGGGATTGACCCTAGGCCATTGCAGAAGCTTGACAAGCACTCTACCATTGAACTACAACCCCTACCCACGTTTCACTCTGTTTTGAGTTAGGGTCTCACTAAGTGCCCCGATACTCTTCAACTCACTCTGTAGCTCAAGCTGGCCCTAACCTTGCAACTCTCCTGCACCAAACTCCTGAGTAGCTAGAATTATAGGACCGTGCCACTAAGGTGGCAGCCTGTGACTTTTGTACAATAAAAAGGTAGAGACGTTATAGTGCATGACAGGATGATTTAAACAAGTGGTTCTCAACCTTCCTAATGCTGCACCCCTTTAATACTGTTCCTCATGTTGTGACTCCCAACCATAAAATTATTTCATTGCTATGTCTAGTTGTAATTTTGCCAGATTATGAATCATAATATAAGT